CACCGGTACCGACACCGACACCAGTACCGACACCGACACCGGTACCGACACCGGCACCGGGCAAGGGCGCGAGGCGGCCGCGTGGACGGAGGCGGCCCCGGCGGGCGGAGCGGGAGCCCGCGGCAACCGTGAGTGTCCCCGGATGTCCCCGAGCACCCGTGGGGGGACCCCGCGGGGGTCCCAGCGAGACCCCCCCCTTTCCCGGCTCCGCTCTCTTGCAGAGAGCGCCGCGGGGGTCCCCGTGCGCTACTGGTCGCCCGTCATCTTCGTGGCCGTGGCCCTGCTCGTGCTCTTCCTCACCTACAGCCGCACCAAGGGGAAGGGTGAGCCCGCGCGGGGACTGTCCCCTCGGCTCCGCCTCGCGACAACAGCGACCCCCCCGGCGGCCGCCCCCGCCGCCCTCCCGCTCGGCGCCGCCTCCGCTTCTGCTTTCCCGCCCCGTCGGGGATTGCGAAAGCAAAAGCAAAACCCGCCCCCCCGCGCGGAGACCCCCCCAAGTGCCATGGGGTCCCCCGGGCTCTGCCATGGGGTCCCCAACCTGCGGCCCCCGCCCTGTTTTGCAGAGAGCGGCAGCGGGGCGGCCCCGGACAGCGACTCCTCGGGTAGGTGGGTGCTGCAGCCCGGGGCTCCGCTCCGGGCAAGCGGCCGCTTCCCGGTTTCCCGGGGCCGCTTCCCGGTTTCCCGGGGGCCGCTTCCCGGTTTTCCGGCGCCGCTCCCAGCCTGTGTCCTTGTGCCGCAGATCTGGGCATCGCGGCCGCCGTTGGCAACGTGGCCCCCGTCACCCTCGTGGCCCAGGTGAGTTTGCGACGTGCGGGCTCCGAGCAAGCTGGGATGTGGACGCGAGCCGGGATACGGATACGAGCCGGGATCTGGATGCGAGCTGGGATCCGGATGCAAGCCGGGATGTGGACGCAAGATGGGATGCGGATGCGAGCTGGGATGTGGATATGAGATGGGATCCGGATGCGAGTTGGGATGCGGATACGAGCTGGGATCCGGATGCGAGCCAGGGACCCCGGGCCGCTCCGTGTCCCCCCAGCTGCAGGAGAAGCCCCCCGGAGCGCCGAGCCCATCCCGAGAGGACACGAGCGAGACTGTCCTGGGCGAACTGGAGCTCTGAGGCGGCAGCACGGGACGAAGCCAAAACCGCCGCATTTCACCCCGGAAACGCCACGCGCCCGGATTGCCGCTGCTTCCTATTCATGCACCTTATCCAGATGGAGCGGCTGCCATCCCTGCGCTCTCCAAGGACTGCATCCCGCTCCCAAAGAGCCATTCCCAACCTCCAAGCGCCCCATCCCATCCGGCTCCGGCGCCTCCGGACGGGGTCAAGCGGGGGCAGCTCCTACCAGCCGTCCGCACCCGGAGACGGTGGAAAAGGTCAAAAGTGTTGATTTTATTAAAAAAAAAAAAAAAAAAAAAAAGAAGTTTTGTACAAGTTTAGTTCCTCTATTAAAAATAATAATAATAATTAAAAAAAAGGGACTTCCTAACACTGCCGTAATGCTTCGGTCCACTGCAAAACTGTAAAAACGGGCTTTTTATATATTAAAAAACAACTTTACATTTTACAACTTTCTACACGCATGCACAAGGGCTCGGCTCTGCAAAGAAAAATGGAAGAAACGGGGGGGAAAAAAAGGGAAAAAAAAAACAACAAAAGGGTTTGTTCTCCAACTCTCCAAGTGGGAGCTCCCCATCCCAGTCTGGGCTTCCCATGTCCCTCTCCTGCAATGGAAAACCCGGGAAGAGGCACCGGGATCGGGGGGGGGAGCCCCGCGCTTGGTCTGGTCCCGGCTCGAGGAGTTTTGGCAGAGGCTGGAAGACGGGAATTGCCCTGGGAGACTCCGGAGGCGGGGAGCAAAGCCCCGCGGCCCCATAGCGCTGGTGTAAACGAGACTGGAAGCTCGGAGTGGGATGGCAGCGGCTGGGAAGGGAGGATGCCCGGGATCTGGGAAAGGGAGGATTCCCGGGATGTGGGGAAGTAATGAGATGGAGCCCCAGGAGCCGGTGCTGCCGCTACTGGGGACCCATTTGTGCTCCTGGCGATTCCTGGGATCCCCCCGGCTTCTGGAGGGGACGGGGCACAAAATTTGGGAAAAGGGAGGGGAAAAACAACAAACTCAACCAGGCTATTGTGCAAATGCAAAGAGAGGGGGCCAGGCTGGGGAGGGGGCAGCCCCGGGGACGGCTTTAGTGCTTCGGGGGCCGCGGCGGCTCCAAGGCGCTGGAATTGGGGCCATGGGGCTGGGAGGCTTCCATGAGGTATCCATGACCCTAAGGAAGGGAGCGGGAAGCGCAAGGAAAAGGCGGAGGCTTCCGCGAGCAAAAGGCGCCGCGATCCCGCCGGGAAGCGAAGGCGGCCGGAGCGGCTAAAAGGCTGCGGGAAGCGGCGCTCCAGCAGCGCGGGAAGGCGGCAGCCGCTCCGGCACCGGCGGGAATGGCGCAGGGAGCTGCCGTGGAAATCGCGCCCTTCGGGAGCCAAAAGGGTCCCCGAGCGCGGGAGAGGGAAGCCGGGAGGGTCCTTGCGGCCCCACCGCGCTGGCGAGGAGGGATCCAGCGGGATGGGGAGGGGGACGTAGCCCTTGGGTGGTGGCACCGGGATGCGCCGCCGGCTCCGCTTTCCGGCGGGAAGCTCTTCCAGGAGCCGCGGCGAGGCCGGAGCTCACCCCGACGCGCTCACACCGACGTCTCCGACTGCAGCCGCATGACGAACTTGTGCGACTTGGGGTCCACGAACTCCTCGGAGAGCTTGAGGAAGGGCAGCTTCTTGGCGCTCACCACCAGGCTGAAGTCCTGGCGCTTGAGGACGAAGACCACGCCGTCCCGGAGGCCGTTGGTGACGGGCTCCTCGCTCACCAGCGTCCACTGCTTGGCCAGCCAGCGCTCCTTGTGGTACTGGATGGTGGGCCCGGCGCTCAGGTACCTCTCCAGGAAGGCCTAGGGGAGGCGAGGACATGGGGACATCATCACACGCATCAGCGTTTCCCCCCCACTGCCCCACGCTGGGCTCRGTCCCCTCAAAGGGACCCCATGGTGGCACATGGGGTGACACCAGGGACCCAAAGGCAGCTCATGGTGGCACGTGGTGGGAAGGCAGGTACCCAAAGGGACCTCATGGTGACGCATGGAGTGACACCAGCGACCCAAAAGGACCCTACAGTGGYGCAGGAGGGTATGTTGGGGACCCCGAGGGACCCTGTGGTCCCCGAGCGCCGGCAGCTCCCAGGGCCACACGGTCCCCACGGCGGGACCCGGTTCCCCCKGGGGCCGAGGCCAGCGAGGCGGGCGGGCACCTTGGGCGTCATGTCGTGGGTGATGCAGAACTCGAGGTGCTGCAGGATGCTCTCCATGGTGTGGTAGGGCTGCTGCTTGGTGGTGCGCAGGTACTTCTGCATGGCCCGCGCCATGGAGGCGAAGATGGCCTGGGCGGCCTCGCGCGGGTCCATGATCTCCCGCGGGTTCTTCTGCTCCTCCTCCTGCAGCCGCTTGATGTGGGTGAAGGCCTCCTCCACGGCCACCACCAGCCTGGCGGGACAAGGCGGTGGCGCGGGGGSTGACGCCAGGGACCCAAAGGGACCCCATGGTGGCACATGGGTTGATGGGGTTGATGGTGGGGACCCAAAGCGACCTTGTGGTGGGGCATGGGGGGACGCTGGGGACCCAAAGGGACTCTGCAGTGGCGCATGGGTTGATGGTGGGGACCCAAAGGGACCTCACGGTGGTGCATGGGGTGATGCTGGCTACCAAAGGGAATCCATGGTGGCACATGGGGTGACACTGGGGACCCAAAGGGACCTTGTGGTGGCACACAGGGGGACACCTGGTATCCAAAGGGACCTTGTGGTGGTGCATGGGGGGATGCTGGGGACCCGAAAGGACCCCACAGTGGCGCATGGGGTGATGCTGGGTACCCAAAGGGAACCCATGGTGGCACATGGGGTGACGCTGGGAACCCAAAGGGACCTTGTGGTGGCACATGGTGGGGTGCTGGGGACCCAAAGGGACCCCAGGGTCGCACATGGGGGGAAGCCGGGGACCCAAAGGGACCCTACGGTGGCGCATGTGGTGACACCGGGGACCCAAAGGGACCTCATCRCGGCACATGGGGTGACAGTGGGGACCCAAAGGGCCCCCGCGGCGGCCGCGCGCGGCGCCCTACCTGGCGCGGCGCTTGCGCACGCGCCGCTCGTGCTCGGCCTCCTCGTAGTAGTACTCGTTGTGGCTGTTGTCGCGGCGGCGGGCGGCCGCGGCGATCACCGCCCGCGGCTGCCCCGTCGAGTTGTTGGCGAGGTTCTCTGCGGGCGCGAGGGCACCGCGATGGGGCCGCGGCGGCGCGCGAGGGCACGGGGACGCGGAGGGGACGGGGACGCGGAGGGGACGGGGACACACGAGGGGACGGGGACGCGGAGGGGACGGGGACGCGGAGGGGACGGGGACGCGGAGGGGACGGGGACGCGGGTGGCAGCTCACCCTCGCCGAGCGAATAGACCTTGAAGCCGGACATCTTCTTGGCCAGGACGGACTTGGGCAGGTTGAGCAGGGCAGGGTTGTACACCGGGAAGTCCTGGTAATAGTTCTCCAGGATCCACACGGCCGCTCGCTGGATGCTGCGGGAAGACCCAGCGGGTGACGCGCCACAGGTTGGCACAGGGGTGCCCACGAGGGCCCCCCCTCCACGCGCGGTGCCCACCTGAGGTGCCCCACGTTGTAGAAGCGGCTGGCGCCGTCGGCCGAGCGCACGGCCTTGAGCGTGAACTGGGGCTGCAGCTGGCGCAGCTCCAGCAGCAGCACGGCCAGGTAGTGCACGAAGAGCAGCGCGTCCACCAGCGACGCCGCGTACTGCACCACGGCGCCGTAGCGGCGCTCCCGCGCCTCCAGCACCCGCACRCCGTAGAAGAGCCAGTAGGAGAGCACGAGCAGCAGCACGAGCACCATGAGGAGCGCGCGGAAGACGAAGACGCGCGGCAAGGCGGCCGCCGGGCGGCGGAAGAAGAGCGCCCAGCTGCCCAGCAGCAGGATGAGGAGCTTGAAGGCCACCGAGAGGAAGAGCCCCTCGCACGGCGTCCCGCACGGCTCCAGCTCCKCGCGCCACAGCAGCTGCGGCAGCAGCACGAAGGCGAGCGGCGTGAGGAAGGAGAGCAGCGCCAGGGCGCCGGCCAGCGAGGCGCCCACGTGCCGCCAGCAGCCGAGCCGGGCGCTCTCCTCCATGTCCTTGGCGATGCGCGACAGGTCATCGTGCGAGATGCTGTGCTCCGACGTGCCCGTCACCACCGTGGTGGTCTCGCCCCAGTTGTCGTCCTGCGGCAACCGGGACGGGTCAGGGGCCGCGCACGCCCCCTCTGAGACCCCCCCCATGGGAAAAGCCAGCTGAGCATCCCAAATATTCCCGGCAAATTGCTTTGTTAGTGGGATTGGAGCCAATACTGCAGCCCTGGGGTTTGCCCTTGGTGGAAAACTATGGAAAAAGCTTCCAAATGCCGGTGCGGATCCCTGGATCTGGAGAAGGCTGAGCTGCCGCCCGAGGCAGAGTGGGAACGCGGAGCTGCTCCAGCGCCTGATCCGGGCGGGAAAGGAGCCGACCCGGCTGCCCGTCCCGAGGGAGCAGCTCCCCAGGGTGTTCCCAGCCCCGGTGCCCGCGCGCGGCGCCCGCCGGCCCCTTTCATCCCTCCSCGCGCCCGCCCTGGCTCCGGGCGCTCCCGGCGCCCCGGCCGCCCGACCGGCTCCGCCGCTCCCGCGGGCAAGGCGGCGTGTCGGGAGCAGCCCGGGACGGGCACCCGGATGCCGCCTGGCTCCGCGCCGCCAACGCCGGATCCCTCCATAACACCTCAATCCTTCCCAGAGCCGAAGCCTCCATTATGGGAGCGCTCTGGATACCTGCGCGGATTAAAGCGCCCCGCTTCCCGCCGGCACATTTCCCACGCGTTGGGCCATCCCAGCCTATATTCCCCGGCAATCCCAGCCTCACCCCGCTCCCTCTCACCCGCTCGTCGCCCCGCGTCGACTCGTTGTCCAGCAAGGGCTCGCCCGGCGCTTGGATGGTCACCGACTTATCCCCGCGGCTCCCGTCCCGGCTTTTGGAGCGGTGCCGATCCCGCCGATCCCTGGAAAAGCCGACGGAGAGGAAAAGTGAGCGCTGTGGCAATGAGCCCCGGCTTCGGTCAGCCGCGCCGGCCGCCCACCTGTGCTTGCGGGAGCTGCGGGAATGGCCGGATTTGTAGGAGTATCCCGAGTACTGCGACTCGTTGTCCATGTTGTCGGAACGCCGGCCCTTGTAGCGCTCCAGGGTGGCGGCGCCGGGGCCGGCGGCCAGGGCGGCCGCTGCCTCCTTCAGCGCCGGCTTCTTGAGGCCCAGGGGCGCCCGGAGCAGCTCGACCGTCGCCTTGAGGGTCTCTATCTTGACCGGCGGCGCGGGGCTCGGGGCCGGAGGAAAAGGGGTCCGAGGCTGCGGAGGAGGCGGCGCGCTCGGCATCGGCCGGCCGGGCCGCCGGAGCCATGGCGGGTGGGAAACGGGGGGACGCGGGGTGGGAATTTGGAGCGATGTGGGGTGGGAAACGGGGGCGACGCGGGATGGGAAACGGGAGCGATGCCGGGATCCGGACCCTGGATTCCTCCTTGCTCCCTTTTTCCCTGCTGCATTCCAGGTGATTTATGCCTTAATTAACAGCCCAATCGTCACTTTAATGGGCACGGGAGGGCCTGAGGTGGGGGCCAACTCAAAAAAATTCATATATATATATATATATATATATAAGAAATTATTCACACACATACGTGTATATATATATCTTTATAACCGCTCCTGAGCACTGTTTGGGCACCCCAAAGCGCAGCCGATCCTGGGAGCGGACCCAGAGCCTTCCCGCTCCCAAAGGATCCCGGGAAGCGGAGCGAGCGGCTCCGGGCGGGAAGGAGCCGGAACAGGCTGCGCTCGGGGCTCAGCTCCCGGGAAAACGCCCTTTTGGCCACATAAATCCCTCTTCCCAAGGGACAACCCCCTCTTCCCAAGGGAGAGGGGAAGCTGGCGTGAGGACGAGGGGGGATCCCTTTGTCCCCGGCTCCGGATTCCCGCACATTTGTCCCTATGGAGACCGAAGCCCCCCCGCCCGCGCCGGTCGTCTAGGAGATGGCACCGGAGCCGGGAACTCGCATCCCGGCGGCCCCCGCGAGCGGCCGCCCTGGGGGAAGGGGCCACAAGGGGCCGAAAAGGAAGGGCCCCCCCTCAACCCCCCCCTTTTTCCCGCTTTGTTTGCGGGATGGATCCGATTTCCACTGGGAACAATGCGGGGGGTGGGGGGGAGGACTCCTTTCTCCCAGGCCTGCTCATTAGGGTCATTGTGGAGGGGCACCTGGATGCGCTTCCCAAGGGAATCCCGGGAACCTGGATGCGCTTCCCAAGGGAATCCCGGGAACTCACCTTCCCGAGGGAACGCCGGGAACACGGTGGGGGGGCGGGGGCCGCTCGCTCACTCGCCGGCACGGCGGCGCATCCCGAGCTGGCTCAGGCGCCGGGATGCGGCTCCGGGCTCCGCGCTGCCTGGGGGCACCAGCGGAAAAGAAGGGAATCAGAGCGGGATGCGGCCACACACAGGGACGCACCGGGGGCGCCCCCGGCACGTCGAGCCCCCTCAACGCACTTCCCAACGCATCTCCAAGCCGCCGCATCCCTATGGAGCCACCGCTCCGTCCCGAATGGACCGGGCAATAAATTGCCGGGTGGCAAATTCCCGGCGGCGGGAAGCCCTCGTACTCCTGCCCGTTTCCAGCTCCACGACYGTGCAGGGCCCGCCGGGCTCTTCCAGGTTTTCCGAGCGGGAAAAGCCGGCGCTCGGCTCTGGAGCCGCCTGCCCTTTCTCACGGCTGCCGGAGCAGCCCTGCCGTGGAGGAAAGGGGGTTTAAATGCGTATAAACGCCTATGCACACAAACATATGTATATATATATATGTGTGTGTGTGTGTATATATATACGTAGCTAGGTTGCTCTAGCAGGGGGAAAGGCATCCGAGCAGCACAAGGGCTGCATGGAAAGTCCAGGGCTTCTCCTCCAGGATAGACCCAGCAGCACCTGGATCTTCCCGCCGGCAAAGCGAGYGCAAGGACGTGGTTGAATTGGGTCAAATTGCGTCAAATCGGGTCAAATTGCGTTAAATTGCTTGAAAGAAGAGCCCCGAGCACTCGCCTACGAGGAAGCGCCTCCTGCGCAGGGTGGCAGCGCAGCCACCGGCTCCTTCCCGGGAATGCCGGTGGGATCGGCCACCGCCTGCGCTGGCAATGGGGAACAGGGGGCTGGGAAGCCAAAATTCCCGGAGCTTTTCCAGGGAGGAAAACGGGACAAAACACGGAGGGGAGGCGCGGGAGCATCCGCGAGGGTTAATCCCACTCCCCAGGCGCTCCCGTCCGGCTCGCAGGCGGCTTCATATCCCTTCCAAGCTGTCACCTTCAATTACGCTCGCCCGGCACTGCCACAATGTCYGGGCGAAGGTCCCGGCTCCGCGCGGGGCCGGGAATCGCGTCTCCGTCCCGCACTCCCACGGGAACTGGCAGGAAAACCGCCCCGCGCATCCCGCTTCGCAGCCGGCCTCGCGGCTGCCTCCTATCCCGGCGGCCTCCGCTCGGGTGGGAAGGCCCGAGCCAGAGTTGCAACTGGAACAGGGTGGAAAAAAAGCGCACAAAAGCTGGGAATTTGCATGAAAAGGGCTGGATGTATTTGCATTGCAAAGCACGGCAGTGCCCAGGGATCCGAACTGCAGGGCTGCTGCAAGGGATTCCCACTGGCCCTAGGATGTTTCCCAGCTCTCCCTTCCTGCATCGCTTCCCAAAATCGGGAGCAAGCCTGGCTTGCAAGGCTTGCCCTTGGTGACAGGGCAGCTTCCTCATCCCGGGCCCGCGACAAGCGTTTTGGGACCAGTTCTTTCCTTTTAGGACAGGCTCCAAGAGAGTCTCCGGGGGCTCAGGCCTGGACGCGTTGCAGCAATGCCGCGAAAGGCCCATTTTTACCCCAAAAATYGGTACAGCCGCGGCGATATCTGCTGCACCGGCATCTCTAGTCAATCTGCTCCGAGCATCTATCCCTTAACACCACTAAATCCCACAAGGAAGAGGCAAGCAAGCGGAATTAGCCCCATCTTCCAGCCTGGGAAGGCAGGTCCAAGACGGAATCCAACTGGGCCAAGGAGCAACAGAGCAGGACGGATCCTTAGCGATCCRAGAAACCCCAAGTTTGGGGCAGAGAAACCCCAAAGTGCTGCATGAGCCGGAGTCCTTCCATCCGCAGGGAAACCCGTCCGGAGCGGGCRTGGGATTTCGGATTGGATGGTGGAAAACGTCGCTCTGGTGCCGAGCAGGGGCCTCGGAGCAGCCCCTGGCCAAGGACGCTCCGTGTTTGCAGCCTCGCACGACGCATCCGGACGCTCCAAACCTCTTTATCCCGGGAGTTCACATGGACATGAAGCGCCCAGGCCTCATCCCGCGCCCCGACTCCAGGGCATCTCCGAGGCCCCTTCCCAAGCATTCCCGCTGGGAACACGGAGCCGCAGAGCATCCCCAAGCCCCGGCAGCCCTGGGGAAACGGGAGCAAGCTCCAAAGGGAAGCTCRCGGGCTGGGAGAGGGACACGCTGGCCATCCCCAGGTGCCCTGCCACCCTATTGTCTCCCTGCCAGGGGGTGACAAAGCCACTTTTGATCCGAGGGGCTCCCGATGGCTGGAGCTGCATGGAATGTGGGTAAAGCTGTGCACCCCATTGCTGGCCACCCTATGCTTCCCTGTGCAACGCATTGCCGATGTGCCGGGGAAGCTCCCAGCTGGAGCCGGGACCAGCTGCAGATCAGGTGGCCCTGGGCAAAGCCCGAGTTGGAGCCAGGTCCTTTTCCAACGCCTCGGAAGAGGGTGCCAGGCATCCCACAGCCTCCTGACTGGGCGAGGAGCCCGCTCCAGCTCCAGGGAAGTCTCCTGCTCCGGACATCGCCGGCCCAGCCCCGAGTTCTCCCCAAAACCACAAGAAGAAGCCTCCAAATCAGTCTGGAGAAGCCAGGGGCACCGGGAGCAACTCGGGCACTGGAAGAGCCACTCAGCCCCCATGCAATCCCCTTCAGGGAGATGAAGCGACCGCCACTYGGGCTCCGTGATTCCATTTAGCGCTTTTTGCTCCTTTTCCCCCCCTTTCCCAAGTGCTGCGCCCGTCTCCGCAGCGAGGCCAGTGGCAACAAGCTCCCGGGCTCCCGTTCCCACGGGAAAAGGCAGCGGCTCCCACCCGGTCCCGCACCCGCACGAGCCGGGTTGGGATGCGGCCCGTGGAGCTCCGGGAGGGCAGARGGGGGCCCGGCCGTGCAGGTCCCGCCGGTAGCACCGGCCCGTCCCGACGCCCGGCTCCCTGCTGGAGCTCCGCGCTTTCCCACGGGAATTTTCCCCSCTCCCGGCTCCGCTCCCAGCGACCTCCCCGCCGCGCGGGGCACAAAGGGGGCCCGAGGGGACGGGGAGCGCCGCGAGGCGCGACCCCCGGCCAGGGCAAGCCGCCGCCGTCGCGGCGCATCCCGGGCGCCGCATCCCAGGAAAGCCCGCGGCTTCCCGGGCCGCTTCCCGCGGGAGCCGCCGCACTCACCATCGCCGCCGCTCGCACCTTTGTGCGCGGCCACCCCCGCGCCGGGCGGCCCGAAGCGCCGCGGGCCGCAGGCGGAGGAGGCGGAAACTCGCGAGCCCATTGTCTCCGCTCCCGGCGCCCTTAAAGGGGCGGGAGCCGCATTGTCCGCGGCCGCCGCCCGGTACCCGCGGGCGCTTCCCGGCTCCCGCCGCTCCGGGCCCCGCTGGAGCGCGGATCCCCCCCGCCCCGGGCGGAGGAGCCGCCTCGGGGCCGCGCGGCGGCCCCACCTTTGTGCCCGGCCGCGGTTGGGGCGGGATGGGGCCGGTTCCCCCCGCCGGCGCCCGGTGGCAGCGACGGGGCGGGCTCCTTCCCGCGGCGCCCCGTGGGGTGGCGGAGGGCTCTGCCCGGCCCTGCCCCGCGAGCTGCCGTGTCCGGG